ACTTATGGCAACTCTAGAACGTTCTGAAGTTTATCGCTCATTCTCTTTCTCTCGCTGTTCGCAGTATTCATCCAACTTGACGTTTCTCTTTGTGGAACATTCTACGTCATTCCTCGAATATTCTGCCTATTTCTCGTTGTTCGGTTCGCAGTATTCATCACAATTCTATCGATATTGAGTAAGCATCGATACTGAGGGTATAAAAATTAGTACTTTAATACTCGATACCTTATTTGGTGATTTTGCTCCATACTTTGCAAAGTACTCGTAGTATCGAAAACTTTTTAAAAAACACCCTTTTTAAATGTTTTCTCCCATTGGCAATCCAATTTTCTTTGCTTATAAGGATTACTATCATTCAATTTTGTCCATCACTTGAGATAAACTGACATTTCGTGTAGTCTGTTGCATAATATAAACCAAATAAGATAAAGTCTAATGGCCTTATTCATAAAAAATAAAGTAGGTTTAAAAAGCTTAATAAAATGACATTGTCATATATTTTTCAGTTTATAAACCTGTTTTATTTTTTATGAATAAGTCCATTAAACTTTACGCAAAGTTCACAAAAATGCGGAATTTTTACAAACTTTTTAGGTATGCAGTTTTGTAACCTATTCAACTTTACGTGTTGCCTACTACCGTTAACTTTTAATTCAAACTGCATATCCAGAAAGTTTACAAAAATTCTTAATAAAATTTGAAATTCGTGAAAGTATGCATGTATGTACATTTAACGTTGAAATTACTTCTAATGAAAGTAAGTTCTGCAATGAAATAAAACTCAAATATTTTAAATTTTTATTGTTTTAATTTCAGATATACGATTGAAGAATAAAATAATTTTAGTATCCTAAAAAAACGTATTTTAATGAGTCCGATACTGAGTAGTATCGATACTTTTTCCCTGATACTTTTAGAGTATCGATACCATGAGCTCGATGCCAGAATGAGTACTCAGTATCGATACCAAAGTCTTAAGCTGAAATTAGTCAAGAACGTAAACCTACCGGTACGTAAACCCGAGTCAGCTGACACGATCTGTCTTACCAAAGCGCCATGTAAATGAAAACTCAACACCGCAGAATTTTTCTGTAGTTGTAGCCCGTAGCGCAGAAATCTGCGGAATTTAGATTTTTCCGTGTCAGCTGATTTCTCCTTCTTTAGATGGTTGCCACTTCGTCAGTTTTACAGATGGTATAAAAGATATAAGTTCCTATTCAAAACATGTTTAAAATATTTGAAATTTACTATTGAATAAGGGTTTTGTTGAAAACTAAGTAGTTTATATTTAGCTAAAATCTATTATAGCACGAAAAATTGTAGTTGAAAGGTTAAGTTTATGAAAAGGCATTGATGAGTGGCAACAGTGTAGTAAGCAACACTGAGGGCTCCAGTAATCGACAAAATTCTGCGTATACAGACTGCGTTTAAGTATACGTTCTGCGTTCTCGACTAATTTCAGCTTTAAATTTCGAACCCTAGGTGAGACGCTAACCAATCTTACAATTTCACTAGTCTTAAAGCAAATACACTGTGGTTGTTCACGCTTGCCTAGTTATCGAGTTACCTGGTTAAAAATAATTTTTCTGTAGTGCCTTTTGTTGTTGTACAACAATCATTTTTAACCAGATAACCTGGCCCCTTAGCCCGTGGTTACGCCACCAATTTCGATTGGCAATCACCGTGCAATTGTTGTTGTGCACAGCACGGAGTGAGAGAATTTTCGAAATCGAACAGCCAGCACGATTTGCTGGGTAAACCGAACAGCCAGCACGCCAATTTTTCAGGGTGGCAATACGCTATTTTGCGTATTTTAGGCCTTCAGCCTAAATATTTCAAAAA